TCTACTTCACAGCATAATCCCAGTACTTTAGTATACTCTTGCCTTTTGTCCAGCCTTTTTATCAAATTTCCAATCCAGATAGCCCATGTAGGACTATAACCAGTCCATCGGTATATTGGGTCGGCCTGATATCCTTTTCCTCCAGTTCGTTCTGACAGCCTGGTTGGTGGTATCCCAGGACCCAACCCAGAGGTTCTTGCCTGTCTGGCTACTATGACTGGGTACTACGACCTTGGTATCTGTTTCCCTGCGCTAGCCTTTACAGTAGGGCTGTCGAAGATTCAGCTACCTCTTTACTCAGGTCTTCCCAAATAGACTTCTTGTTACCCAATTTCAATGGATTTACACAGTCACAAGAACTTATCTAATGTTTGCACCACCCGATTTGTTGGTTTGCATTCTTCTGTGTAACTCCAACATTGCACAGATGCCCCATGACCTGCCAGTTATGCTGATGCGACCGCCATTACAGGTATTCTAACCCAATCGTTAATAACAGTACTATAATACGAATATTATATAAGTGATTATCCAAATTTTCACTATCAATAAGATTTGAACACCCAACCTACCACTTGAAGGGTTGACAACCTGACCACTTCACTAGGTCACCACACCCTAATCATTAGTTATTTTTACTATTGTATTATTATTATTAGTTACTAGAACTTTCTAGTTATTTAGTAATTACTTAGTTACTTAGTTGCTTAGTTGCTTAATTGCTTAGTTACTTAGTTGCTTAGTTGCTTAGTTGCTTAGTTACTTAGTTACTTAGTAATTAGTTACTTAATAATTATTAGTTATTAGTTGCTAAAACTTTCTAGTTACTTAGTAATTACTTAATTACTTAGTTGCTTAGTTATTTGGTTGCTTAGCTTACAGATATATAAACTCTGCTAAATTTCTCAAGTCTAATTAAGCAACAGATATTCTATTTCTTTTTAATATTATAACCATATTTTGAAATTCTTTAGAAACAAAACCTAAAAATAACTTTTTTTATTATTATTTTAATAAACAGCTTTTGACTATAAACTGTATTAATACTTTCTTTCTAAAGTAATTCTTACAGACAAGATTTATTTACTTTTAGTAAAATAAAGTAAAATTATTAGTATTATATTACCTTTTCTAAACTGTCTTAGAAAAAGATATAGTTTCTTAACAATGTTTAATAGAAGCTATATTTTCTTCTTGAATATTATATATATCTGTAAGAAATTTTCTGTGCTATGTCATTATTATAATATAAAAATTAAGAAGGCTTGTATTTATAACAATACTAATGATAAATTTTATTTATTAATTAAATTTTTAACAATCTATTTATTAAAAAATTAAACTAATTATTATTTTAAAAAAGAAAATTTACAATATATTAACTTGATTTTATCAAGGTTTAAAATAAAAAAAAGATATTAAAATTATTATATAAAATGTAAGTAATTTATTTATAATTATTCATAACAATAGCAACTAAATTTATAATAAAAATAAAAGATTTTTTTGATGTTAAGATAATCTCTTTAGTCTTTTGACTTTTATTAATAACTTTTTTGATAATATAATTTTATGAACTACCACAAAGAAGTATACAATTGACTATATATATAACTTTTCTATATTACTTATTTAAAGAGTCTATTTAATAATTCTCTACTAATTGTTATATCTAATATCTCTGCTTAGATGTTTTATTTTAAACTCTTTGAATTTGCAATCTGTATTAACTTACTAGGTCATACCCAAATGTTCAGATCATTTTTTTAATCTTAAAACTATTTTATCCTTATGATAAACTCTTCAGAACCTTCTGTATTTATTTTTATAACTAATCTAAGTATTGTTATAGCAGAACTAACACTTGTAATTAGAGTTATATTATTTAACTACTATGTCTTACATAAACTCCAATATTTACTTTATAGTATAATCCTAGTATTTTAGTATACTTTTGCCTTTTGTTCAACCTTTTGTTCAAACTTTCAATCCAGATAGTTTATATAGAACTACAACCAGTTTATCAATATATTAGTATAGTCTAATATTCTTTTTTTTGATTTGTTCTAGTAGTCTGATTGGTAGTATTTCTAAGACTCTTAACCTAAAGATTTTTGTCTGTCTAGATAATATAACCAGATACTATAACCTTGGTATCCATTTTCTCAAGCTAGTCTTTATAGTAGAACTATTAAAGATCTGACTACTTCTTTATTTAGGTTTTTCTAAATAGACTTCTTGTTATCTAATTTCAATAAATTTATATAATCACAAGAACTTATTTAATTTAGTATTTGCACTGCCTGATTTATTGATTTGCATTCTTTTGTATAACTAGTTATACAGATGCTCTATGACTTGCCAGTCATGCTGATGTAATTGCCATTACAGATATTCTAACCTAATTATTAATAACAGTTGTCACAATATAAATATTACATAAGTAATTATTTAAATTTTTGTTATTAATAAAATTTAAACATCTAACCTACTACTTGAAGGATTAACAATCTAATCACTTCACTAGATTGCCACATCTCAAAATAAAAAAAATTTTTTATTTTAATCTATATATTCTTATATTAAATAAAATAAAATCAATATTGAACATAAATAAAAGACAATAAATAAGATACTAAATAGAAATCTGATAATTTATAAAATTGTTTTATATTACTTATTATTTAGCAAAATTTTTTATTAAATTTGATATTATATTAAAATATTTAACCTAAACCAATAAGATTATGCAAACTTAATAAATCAGTTTTTATATCTGGTTGAGTTAAAATTTTATAAAACTATAAAAAATTTTCAGATATACTTACTATTTAGATGAGTTTTTTAAAAAATCTATAAAAAATTTTGTTATTTATATATAAAACTTTTTGAAAATAAAATTAAAAATTATGTTATTAGGTTAGTTTTAAAAATTTTATATTATGAGAACCAATTTATTAAGTTTGTATAACCTAATATTAAGTATAATCAATTTTTTAAAGATTTTTGAAATAATAATTATACTATATAGTTTTTAAATTTAATACAAAAAATTAAACCATTAAGATTATAAATATAATAATAATAATAAATAAATACTAAGAGTTGGGTCCTATAACTTAATTGTTAAACTTCTATTTCTCTATAAATAAGATTGACAATTTGAGTTTAACTAGAAGTAAAATACTTTATAACCAAAATATAACCTATAATCAGATATAAAACTATATAAATATCCAAGTAAAGATATATATTTAATCTAAGAAATTCTTAAAAGAAAACTGATAAAAAATGACATCAATGTTTATAAAAAAGATTAATCTTACCTAATATGAAATCATCTCTAGTATCATAAATCCAAATAGATGTAATTGTGAGATCTACTTCCATTCAGTAGAATTTGCATCAAGAATAAAGTAACCTTAAGACTTGTTATTAAAAAATTAAGTTGGTACATATAGAAAAAACATTGAAAATCAAAGACTTTAAATAGGAAACCCACAAGTGGGTTTCAGGTATGCCAATTAGTAGATAACCTGCAAGCAGAACCTTTAAATAGACAATGACTAAAGTTGTACAAGTGACTAATTGTAATCTCATTGATATGTAAAATGTACTCCCCTACATGTTTGTAGGTTATAAGTCTTAATAAAGATCACGAGCCATAGACGTCGCTCTTTAAACCTGAAAATGATAATAATAAGTAAATATTGAAACTGTGATTTTATTGACCCATAGGTAGGGTGTTCAAGATTGTGATCGCATAATATGTGCATAATCTATTTTTTTTGCATCCACGAATGCTCTGCATAATCAAGCATCCTGATCATGTAGTTCAAACATGATAAGTAGAACTGATTTTTTAATGACAATGAGAACAATAAGATCGATAAAGCGATTTTCTTGGATATTCAAGATTTTAATAAAGGTTTTTTTTATAAAACGGTTATAAATGTTTTTTTTTCAATTCTTAATAAAAAAAAGCTGGACGTTTAATTAAGAAAATACAGAACGACATTATAGAAATCCCTCGTATAAAGATGATTTTTATGCACAGAGGGAAATTTTTTGTCGGTTTTGTCAAACCACTGTGGGTCATGAAAAAAAAAACTGCAATAGATGAACATTTGACATCTACCCATGAATCAAAAAAAAAAACTTTACACTTAACGTTAAAAAACTCTTGTTCAACGTGCAATTACTGCTTTTAATAAGCCTTATGGTGAAATTGCATTAGTATATACTTGGTTACTGGCTTCTGGTGTAAATGTTGAATGTAGCTTTTCGGCTTATAAGCGAATTTTAGCAGATAATAGTCATGTTTTGTCAAAAAACTCAATTAGAATGTTGAATTTTAATAAACTAAATAATCTTTTCAGAGAAGATTTAAGAACCGCATCCTCTATTTAAAAATGCATCCTCTATTTAATTATTTCGCATAATTTTAAATTGATTTCGCATCCATCGCATAATTGACCTCGATCGCATCGCATAATCTACCGCATAATTCTGGCAGTGAAATCATGTGGTATGTTATTTTGGCATGTAGTTATATTAAGTCAGTGTACTACAGTAATCATAGCTAAGGTTATTTGGCCTGCCAAATTTCATTTATGAATTGAAACGTGATAAAGTTTATCAATTCTCTAAAATTATTATAATACATGATAAAATTTGAACATCAATTGTCAAAAAATCAAGAAATCCTTAAATCGTGTCAACAACCTAGAACTTCAATAACTACAATTTTAGAATCTCCCTCAAATTACGAAAAAAAACTTGCTAGTAAGAACAAAAAAAAAAAATAATACAATACGAAAAAATAAGTAAAGAAACAAAAACAAATTAACAAGTATTAACGAATTGAATTGTTTATAGAATTAATATAAGCAAGGATATATAGATATATGCTAATTGTAAATTAAAGCAAGTAATCGTATTTTGGATAATATCTTTGACTAATTAATAAAGCAATGGAACTTTAAAAATTAAAAGAAATCATTTGTATTAGCTTGATGTCAAATTAAAAATTCAAAGCCGATAAATAAAACATACCTTATCATAATACAAGCATTTTGAGCAATTATGGCAATTCCAAAGTAAAATCGATCCACTTTCATACCGTCTAATGTGTATTTAAAAACAAATACCGCCTAATAAAAAAAGGTAGGAAGTCAATAAAAATGTTCGAATGTTAACCTTTAGCGTTAGGGTGTAGTAACAAAGTATTGTGACGAATTATCATACATGTACTGTAATTCGTCAAACTACCATAGACTGTTAATAAGTGATATTAACAATCTGGTTCGGTAAGTCTGGTCTAGTATTTAATTATTTATATTTTTAAGTAAAATAGACATGGTTCAGACTGGTCGGTAAGTCTGGTCTAGTATTTAATTATTTATATTTTTAAGTAACTTAGACATGGTTCAGAGTGGTCTGGTCTGAAGACTGAATACAGACCAGTCTCAAGACTAATTGTAGTTCAACGGTTTAGACCAGATTTCAAACACCCTACCGCTACTGTTAATGCTATTGTTAATGTAATAAGATAAAAATAAACTAACCACAGAACCACATAAGCCACAAGCCAGTAAAGTAAAGCCTAAAAATAAGAGCAAACGAGCCTTCCAGAGCACTTTGGTTGAATGTAGATAAACACCATCATTGAGGATTGATCTATCTACTGAACTTGCACTATAATAATTGAAAAATACATATTAGGAATTACGAATTAGGAATGGTTAGAAGGAAAGGAAAAAAAAAGAGAACATACATGATCATTCCGATAGTTGATAAAATGCCACAAATATAGTCTTCAAATGAAATAGCAGAGAAGATATTGTCTTTATGGTTATCAATAGCAGGATAAATTAAGGCACATATAAACCCCCACCATCCTATTCCAAACAAAATGCCAGCCACGTATAAAGCAATGCCCCTAGTATTAGGACTGAAGCATACTCTTCTATCATCGAAATCGTTGATAGCCCATCGTGAAAGAACAGGCGGAGAAGTTGACGGCGATCTGGTAGTAAAAAGACCATGAACCATGACTAATTTTCATTAATGAATCCGAAGGTTTAGCAGTATCTCCTTCTACACACAACACTTTATTGTCAAATACGAAGAGTTCACCTCTTCTATAATGTAAAAGTAACGGTAAATTTGATAATGTAGATGAGATCAACTCTTAGAAAAAATCAAGTCTCTTTTTTTTAAAAAAAAAAAAATTTTTAGCCGATTGATAAAAATAGGCATGGCATAGTAATAAAAAGTCCGTGCTGGTCCGAATTTTAAATTCATTCTTTAATTTAAATACTTTTTTTATTTATGGTTAATTTGAGTTTATCATGTGATAATCGTACTTAGATGTGATCCCAATATTGTTTAGTATACGTATTGTATCAGTACGAATGTACTGTACGTAAAGAAAGCTTTTAAATATTTCTATAATGATAATATAACGATAATATATTACAATCTTAATATATGGATAAATAAAAACGCCTGAAAGCGCCTACCTACATATTTGCATGCATCTAACTTTTTAGAAATTTCTCGGACTCAAATACTTATTTGTACAATCAGTTCGAAATTTACCCAAAATACACCCTGGATTAGTTCACTCTTTATATCGATATGGTTATTTGTAAAATGGAATGTATGCACGTACGTACGTAATTTTGCAGGTGATAATTCAAGTTCTTATCAAGGTTGTTTCCTGAATCTTGTGTCAATCTTGTGGAGCTTGAATTTGTTTACATTTCTCGTGTTTATATTTACTAGCATATACGGTGTGACACACGTGATTGTACTTATTTGTATGCCAATTTCTTATTTTGTCACTTAACCTGCAACTTTGGTTCCTTGCCTATATGCTACATAGATTAATTAATCTTTCACAACTACCGCTACATAATAAAAGAATTTCGAGCAGAACGTTTTGAAAACAATGAGATCAAAAAAAAAAAATAAATAACAAATAGAATATGAATCCAATTTGGGAATATTATAATAAACGATGAATGGTAAAGTCCGTTATTAGCCAAATTCATGTTCTAACATGGTCGGTAAATCTTTATTATATGTCCTTGCCGCAACAATATTCGAACACTACGGTATATACTATAAAATTTAGTAATTGTGATCGACTTTATTCTAGATTCTATAGAATTTGTTCTTGACTTCTCAGATTCTCAGAAAACTTGATACAATTATGGATTAAATTCACATACACAGATTATAAAAAAGTTACCTGCTATGGTTAATTCGGCTTATATTATCATTATAAATTTAATAACGATTGAGAAAAATGTGTATGGTTCCGAAATATTCCGTGTGCAAATGTCATAAAAATCTGGTTGTGATCACGTGTTGTTCGATAAACGAGTATCATTGAATATAATTTCATCTTTTTTAGATTTCAGACTTTTACAATTATGAGTGAAAACCTGAAACAGATTTAATGATTTACTATGATCGGTTTCCAGGTTTTCACTCTCACGCACTCATATAGTAATGACAAAACAATGCGAAGAAAATTTTTAAGGGTCAAAATAGTTTACTAAACTCAATTGAGATAAATGTTATTTTTTTCAAAAAACAATCATTGGCTAATAGAAACGTGTCATGTGACACAATCAACCCTACGCTTTGCGTTTAAAATTGGAAGCTATGATTAAAATCTGATTCGAGGTATCTACATACTAAATTAAATTTTAACGCATATAGCATGATGTGATCAATAAGGAGGTTACTGTTAAAATTTACGGATTCTAGGAACAACGAATTTCGTGATTCGCCGTGAATTAATATATCTAATTAGTAATTCGTGATTTTCTGTGAAGATCGCAGTAAGACAAATTGCATAGTTTGTCCCTGCAGGTTCATCCGAATGTTGTACGAGTTGTCTGGATGACAATAATGTAATACTCACGTATGTATAATTTTTACATAGCAATAGCAAATAATATAAAAAAAACTCGTGCATATACAGTATATCACATGGTTGCATAAATAGTATATTAAAAAGTTGATCTATATTATTTGTCACGCTGGTACAGTACAGTACTATAGGCAACCATATGTTGCGTAGCAGCGCATTTAACTCCGATGGAAGTATTTTCTTTTTATGGATAACATGTCCAATATTTGATGATATTTATCACCAGTTTCGAAATGGTTGAAAATGGCAAATAAATTTTTTTTTTGGCGCACACTCAAACATTCGATTACCTTAGCACGTTGATTGAAGGTTGCTGCCCAATTTTATGTAATTGTTTCTGAATCGGAAACAATTACATAAAATTGGTTATAAATCTTCAATCAACGTGCTAAGGTAATCGAATATTTGAGTGTGCGCCAAAAAAAAAAAAACTATTTGCCATTTTCAACCATTTTGAAAACCGCGATAATTTATCAACGTGTGATGATTTCAGCAAATATTGCGTAATCTTGCGACAAAAGTATCAAGGCTTGCCTTTTCAAGAATCTATAATAAAGCCTTCTTGGTTCTTATACATACATATTTATTTCATTGAAGAGTACGTATAAAGTTCATACGTAGTAAAAATTGGAATGCTGCAATATGTAAAAATCATATACAGCATATAGTTATGCGAATCTAAAAATTTTGGTTTAAACTAAATTTATATAATTTTTGTTAATTATAAAATATTTTTTAATCATTAAAAAAATATTATATAAATTTTTTTTTTTAAAAAAAATATTAAAATAAATTTAAGTTTTTAATAAAAGTTATAAAGACAAGTTAGTTATGATTATAAAATTTAACAAATTGAAAAAGTATTTTAAATTTTAAATTTTTACTAACAAGTATTATATAAATATTTTTAAAAAATTTATATATAAAAATAGTTTTAAATTTTTTTTAAGAATAAATTTTTGGTGCAAGAGTGCTCTATAGTAAAATAAATACAAATAAGTATTAGAAATTGAATTAGGATTAGGGTTGAGAATAGGATAAAATTATAAAAGAAATATTTTTATTATGTTATATGATAGAAGTTAGCATAGTAAAATATTGAGATATTGCAGAATACACCAAAAAATAATGTCTTTTTAAAATTTAAAATAATACGTATAATTTAAAATAAACTAATTTAATATTAAAGGAATTTTGAAATTAAAATTAAAAAATAAAAATTTACAACTTTAATTAAAAATTAAAAAATCCAATTAATAAATTTGCGTTAAACTTAGATAGCTTATCATATATAGTAATAATTTGCAATAAACTTTTAATCTATAAGTAATAATTATTATAATAATATAATTAATAATAATAAAAGAATTAAAATTTTCTATATAATTAAACTTTTAATTTACAAAATTTATAAATAACTTTATTATTAAAATTAACTTTAATATTATACTACCAATGGCATATTAAAATTTTTTACAAATTTTTTCTTAATAATTTTATTATAAATTTGAAACAAATAATTTTTATGTAGTTGAACTAGAGTATTTGTTTGATTTTTGTATATAAAAATTTTTAAACCCTTTAATAAATGTACTACCAGTAGTACAAAGACTTAAATCCAGTATTTAAAATAACTATTCTAATTTATAATTTATAATTTATAATTTAAATAATTTTGCATTTAGATCGATCATATATGTTGTGTGTAAACTTCGAATGGGCATGAATTGGAATTGAGTTATGTTAGGCCGAAATTTGATATTTAAATCATTATCTTATTATACGTCAAATTAAAAACGATAATTTAAAAGTTATAATACGGTGAAAAAGAAAGTCAAGAAATTTTAAGCGAACCAAGTTTTATTTTAAATTTAACTTACGCCTTTGAGGTACGACATAATATAAGGGTTGCTTATTTTAAATATTTAGATTAATAAATTTCAGATTAAATTAATATTATAGAAATTGATTAATCTTTTTGTTCACATTCTGAAATAAAATTAAATAGTCAATTTTGGAGTAACGCAAAGTTCATGGTAATTTTATGTCATAAAATTTAAGTACGACCTTTATCTAACACTAACTATAACGATAAGATGTACAAATCATGGTTGTGTTACGAAAATTACATTTAATGTAATTTTTATTGTTATCACTGTAAATTAAATTTCATATTATCGTTATTCTTTCGTACCTGTTTTAATTTGATCGTTTAGTTAGAAAATATGGACTGAGTTGTATAAATGAAAGTCATATGAAAGTTAATTTATACCGTTCTAACTTACCGAAACTTATATAAAGTTAGGCAAAATTACATCAAGCTACAATAATTTTACAATTCTACTAACAATTAATCTTTTACAGCAAATGAAGTCCTATAAATCAGCAATATGTATAATCCCTCCAAAATCTCAATGGACAAATATTCAATCAATTCGTCAAAAACATGATAAACATTATAAAAGATGGATGCCTCATATTAATTTAATTTATCCTTTTATCTTGCCTCAACAAGTTTCAGATAAATTCGATTCTTCTGATATTTCAACCGTTAGTAATGCTCTTAACATTAACGAGGGTTCGAGTTCAGAGATTACGGATGATATGATATTACAACATTTGAAAAAAACTTTAAATCATATCCATCCATTCAAATTAAGGTTGCAAAGTTTGAACTATTTCACGCATGGAAAACGAAGCTCTACTGTTTGGCTTCATCCTGAAACCGTTCCTGAGAATGCTTTGTTTGAGTTGGAATATAGATTAATTGGAAGATCTGATTTAGGTGAATGTGAAGATAATGTGAACACTGATGAAAAAAACGTTGAACATGAAAAATTTGGATTTCCAGGATTTGATGATTTGATAAACTTTGGAAACGAGGGATTTAGACCACATTTATCGTTAGGGCAATTTCGTGGCGAGGTAAAGTCGTTCGTTCGTTCGTTGAAATTATTTAATTTTGCAACTTCAAGAATTATTCACTTTAAACAATTGTCATATTTTCTCGATTTCTTGGAAATAGAAATCAGCGCAAGAAGCTATAGAAAAATTTTCATCAATATTTTCCCAAGACCCAATAATTGAATTTGATGTAACTGAGATCTGTTGGATTATTCGTAAAGGATTTCTTGATCCTTTTGAAATTATAGCTAGAATTGGACTTGGAAATGATGGCGAAGTTGTAAAAGAATAAGATAAACTTGAACGCGTATCATAATTAATGAGTGCTACGTTTGGGTTTCTTTGTTTATGGGTTTTAAATGGTATGACAATTTAATAATAAATGTTAAAAATCTATCTCATTTTTTATTGAAGTAAAATAAGGTATCCATTAAGAAATCTCACTAATAAAGTTTCTTATAACTTGATACATAATTATAGAACACAATAAAGGATCATTTATCTTTAAAATTAATTTGGTTTTAAGTTATTTTAAAGTTTAAAATCAACTTTTTTACTTGCAACAAATTTAAGATTTTTTATAGATTGAATTTATATAAAATTTATATGCGTCAATTTATTTGGCCGAGTATGCAAATCTAATGTATAAACTCTGCTCTGCGACATGTTGACTGAATGTTTTTTTATCCGGCAGCTTACTATGATCGTACCAACAGAATAATTAGAGTTCTTTTGGTAATAATTGCGTCATTATCAAATAACGATGTATTTGATGATGATGCAATTATTACCCAAAGAACTCGAATTATTCTGTTGGTTCGGTCGTAAGCCATCTGATCAAACCGTTATTGGGTGCTATGTACGCAGCAAGATAAAATGAATCATTTTGCAAATAATTCTGTTATTGGCTGCTTCGCACCCAATAACTACAATTTTTTAGGCAAATTTGTCTTGAATACAGTTGAAGAAATCATATAAAAAAGAATATTTTCAAGACATCCAATCACTTTGATAAAAAAAAAAAAAAACGCTATTCATAAATTTATTGTCTGTTTGTCATGACTAATTAATTTAATCATGAAAATAAGAATCTAGTCAAAAGGAATTGAAAATATGGGGGCAAGTCAGTAGAAACACACCAAACTTTTTTTAAGTAAATTTTTTAAAACTTTGATTCAATTATTTTTTTTAAATCAATTCTATAGATTTGCAAAATTCGGTTTAAAAAAAAAAAATTTGTATTAAATCTGATTAAGCTTTTGTTGAGTTGTTTTTTTTTTTAAAGATTTAAAAAAAAAATTTATTAAAAAAGACTTGGTATGTTTCTATTGACTCAATGATAAACACTGGTAATAACTTATTATTCAAGCCATGAATATCTAAATTAAAGTTGTTGCAACACATAATTAACATTAAACAATTATAAGCATTTATTTTTTTTAATGTGTAGAGTAAACGCTATATAAAATGTATAGTGCAGGAAGATATATAAATAATAGCAATATTTTCAAATCTAAAAACAATCTAATCAGAATGATGCCTTTCCATTACCACGGACCCTGCAGTGTCTTGACCTAGATCAACCATTGAAGTAGACGCAGCTTGTGAACCGAAAATCGTGTCCTCCTTCGTTGAAGACTTAGTAGCATTATTTTCATCGTCAGAATCAACAAAATCTTTCGAGAGTCCACGAGGAGTAATAACAATTCCTTTTTGTGGTTTATCCTTATCTTCACCATTAACACCTCGATTGTTACCTGGTTTATCCTCTTTTTGTTTTTTTCTTCCTTGTATATAATAGTACGCTCCGATCGCACTAGCGGCTACACCAGCTAAACCGACACCAATTCCAGCAGCAGCTTGTAACACTGAAGAATTTGCAATGTTAGTAGAAGACTGCTGCTGCTGAGGTTGAGAAGATGAAGTGGGTGTTGTTGTAGAAAAGCTTTCAGTTGTACTGGAAGATGTAGTTTGTGATGATTTAGCTTTGATATTTGAATTCTCTTTATTATTATTTTGTTGGAAGGGAAGGAGTGGATTATTCAAGGCATTAGAGACAGCTCCACCTGCGGCGGCAATAGGTATTAATACAGCAGCAGCTTCAATCTCGGTAATATTTATAGGAGGATATGTATGCTTTACTACGGCGACAGCACCTATAGGAGGTACCTGATTACCAATCTCTTTTGCCACAAGTGGTGTTGGTACAAGCGGTGTTGGTACAAGTGGTGTTGGTACAAGCGGCGTTGGTACAAGTGGTGTTGGTACAAGTGAAGTTGGTAAGATTATACTAGTTACAGTTGCAGAATTGTAAGCTGGAGACTCTGTAGCCGTCACTGAGGTGGTGATCGGAGCTATTAGGTCTCTGGCAACAGCGCCTTCCGTGGGGATAACTCGTACAACCAAAGGAATCGGAACTCTTCGATCGTGCTGTTCTCGTGATTCAAGGACATGAAATGGATGTGCAGCTGCAAAGGACAACGCGAATAACGCGAATAAAATAATTCTCTTCAAATTAGAGACCATGATATGTAGTAAAGAATTATAAATTTGGCGCAGGTATTTTCATTCTTATATGTTAAAAATTTTTTGTTATGTTTATAAGTGGCTGTGCATGAATAGAAAATAAGGCGTGGTCGGGCTGATATGGTTCATTAAGCTGAGCCTCGCCACCTTAATAGATTTAATAAGATTACCTTGAAAATATTTCCACGTACAACTGGATTTATTTACGCGACATTTTTATCAAGCCACGTAAAATTAATAAGGACAAAAACAAATGGTAATTGTCATAACACAACAATGATCTCGTAATTATTTGTAAATGCGCGCTTGTTAAATTTTAATTCTGTACATTTGTGACAAAAATTAAGTACAGTTAAAGTGTATAAATTTCGTAGTAAAATTGGCTGAAAATTACTACATATTACTTTCATATAGGAATGCCGAAATTTTCTGGAAAGAAGTAAAAATCCCGATCTACTAACCCAATTCTACCGCTATTTAGAACTAGGATAGCTTACTCTACAATATTTATTAGAAACCCAAGAGAAGTTTACTTAGAACAAAAAAAACTTTCATTGTAAACTAGCTGCATTCCAAAACAATATTAATTTCGATGGTTTCTACTATTAAATTTACTACTTTTTCTACTCTTTTAACCGCGATTACTCCTTAATTCTTTTTGTACATCTTAAACTTTCTGTGAACCTAAATTTTTATTATCTACATAGTAAATTTTATTACTATGAGATTAATGATCAAATCGTCATATCATTTAAGTCATAATCACGCGAATCTAAGACTATATGAAATTCGAACTAAATTTATCGTTATGAAAGAACAGCTGATATATTCTATCTTGGACATCATCTTATCTACTGATAAGCGTGGAACACAATTCTGCTAATCCTTCCAAACTCAATATTAAATAATATTATGACATAAAAATCACTTTGTGTAATAATGTAACGTTCTTATCTGTTACGTATCCTAGTTACTCAAATTCAAAGGCGTTTTTCTAGGTTAAAAGTTTCGTAAGATATTTTCATCATGTTACGTACGAGCTATTGATCCAACTTCTCGTATTTATTGTTATTTGATGGTCCTCCGTTAAAGATTTCGATTCAATAATTAATTATTTAAATCTGACTTTACGGTTAACTCGATTAAGTAATTCACGAGTATTTGGATCAATAAGAAACTTCACTCTTCCGTATGTTAAATCAAGGTAAAAAAAATCCTTTATTTCCTTGACCAGTAATATCATCATCGTTAATGGCAAAGAATCTGTCAAATGACGATTGAGTGAATAATCACATGATATGCTCAATGTACATATCCTTGTTACCATTATCGTTATTAACGTTCATATATTCTTGCTATACATAGAAAACCGAGGTTAAATTTCATCGATAAAAAAAATACAATTAATGAAGAAATCGGTGAAATTTTCCACTCTACTCATTCCACGTAATTTATGCCCAACGTTTCATCCAAAGGAAATAAATGCTTTGATTAAGTCCCAATTTCCTTCATGTTCTTTCATTTCCTCCTTTTTTAGTTTTTCAAATTCTTTTCGTTCTACATCACCTCGCAAAAATTTTTTTCGTTCTACATCGCCTCGCAAAAATTCTTTTTCATTTTTCGATTCATCCTCTGTTGCATCGACTGCTTTACCTAATTGCGATGCTTTGATTAGAAGAAAAAGTAATACACCTTTTTTTCTATTTCCTCAGATCCTTCGTCGTTCATTTCACACATATAGTGCTTCAAATTTTCAATCATCAAAAAGAACATTTAAATCTCATTCGTCCGAACCCATTGAATATCAAGAAGACTCTCTCTCTTCACATTCATTATTAAATATTTTTGATAATCGTTTCAAAACTACGACGAGAAGAGAAACTTTAATATTTAATCATGGTGCTTCTGGTATACCAAAACATACTGATAAATTTGTTTCGACTATATGTGATGGGAAGTGGTATAGTGTTGAATGTGGTGAAGATAGTTTCTTTAGACGTCATGATTCTTTGGGTGTAGCTGATGGTGTTGGTGGTTGGCGTAACGTTGCACCATCACCTAATGCTGGTAATTTATATTTATTCCTAGTTATGATCTTTTAACCTTCATCCTTCACCTTCTAATGATCTTTGGAAAATTTTTTTTTTAGTTGTTAATTCTGCTCTTTATGCTCGAAAATTGATGCATTATGCGTGTGCAGAGCTTGAAAAATATGATGATGAAAAATTTTATCACTATAATGATGTGAATCCTGTAGATATTTTGCAATCAAGTTATGAACAAAGCATGCGTGATTGCGCTTTAGAAGTAAGTCATTTTATCTTTTATTTTTTTTTAATTGTAGGATTCATCTAATTTATTTTTCTATGTAAATTCTTTTACGTATATGTAAAGGGAATAATTGGTTCATCAACAGCTTTAATAGCTATTATACGAAATGATGAACTTCGTATTGCAAACCTTGGGGATTGCGGTATTTGTATTATTCGCCATAATAGTTTCATCTTTAGAAATGAGGAACAACAACATTCGTTTAACTACCCATTCCAATTGGGTAGTGCTTCGAGTGATACCCCTACTAAAGATTCACAAACATTTACAGTTAAAATTCAATGTGGTGATATTGTGGTTATGGGTTCAGATGGTATATTTGATAATTTATTGGATGAAGATATATTGGATGAAATTATCCCATTCTGTTGTCCAAAACTGGGTTTGCAGGTTGAACCTCAAATAATTAGTGATGCACTCGTTTGGCGTGCTAAAACTGCAAGTGAAGACCTCAATATTACAAGCCCATTTCAAATTAGGGCATCATGTGAGGGTTTATATCATCAAGGTGGGAAAAAAGATGACATTAGCTGTTTGGTTGGAGTTGTGACTCCAAAAAAATAAGGTTAATTATATAGTTTGGTCTATCTAGTAAGAAGTAAAATTTGATTTTATTAAACAAAATCATTTTACTTACAAACAATTAATAAGCAATTGACAATTAAACTAGGCAATTTACCCTATGATATAAAACTTTCTTTCCGTTTTAAATAATCCAATTATAATGTAAATAGCTGTTATATACCGTTTTTTTAAGATCAAATTACATTCGAAATGTATGATATATATGCTATTCAATGCCATGTTAATAAGTTTTCAATTTCTGTTTATTGGTTAATACTTTTGTTTGTTAATCATAATAAGAAACACAGATTGGTTTACAAGTAATACCAGTTTCAAGTTTTTTTTAAACAAAAAATTACTTTATGATGATAGTCGTTATAAAACAAATAATAACAACTGAGGTTTATTCTTATTTATATATTTATTAGACAAGAAAAATGGTTAATAAAGTATTTGGTAATACCACTCTTGCAGATCGTTCCACGCATTATTTGAAAAGTAACATTTGGAATTAAAAACTTTCACGTCCAGTTATCATAAAAAATCGTGTTATTTTCGTGGCTTCATACATTCATGTTGAATAATCGCAAACAATCTATTTTTTATAAATTGTAATGATATAGCTTTTCTGTTAACACAAATTTCGTTTATATTATCACAGAATAAATTTCTCTACATGATTTTTCTAACTTTAAATCTTTCTTATTATCAATCTCATATATACTTTGCAACTTCTAAACTTATTACTATTAAGTTCTATTGTTTAAAATTTAAAAATAGATAATACAAATTTTTATAATTATTATTATTATTATTATTATTATTTTAAACTTAGCCTTTGGGACTAGGAACTTTTTATTCAGTATTAAAACATAGTGATTCTGAGAAACCTTCTTACATTAGAGAGTACAATTACACTTTTGGTATTTAATTTAAGTAGTTGCTTATATTATAGGTTTTATATTAAATGTCATTTTTGCAATCTAACTATGAGTATTGCCTATTTAAATTTTTTGTAACATAGTTCTATTTTGCATTACTATAACACTTTTTAGTACATATGTTAGTCAAGAAGTTATAAATATTAATCTATATCCTTAGAATAGCAAACATGCATTCTTAAAACATTGTTACTAGAGTTTTTTATAACTCATTTCTATAGCTTAGTTTTTTTTCTTTGTTTTTTTTTTGTATTTAAAGGATATATTTTATAGCAGTTATTTTATTAACATATGTTAGGGTTAGTTATTACAATTATTTTTAGAATATAATCTTAGTATAGTAGTTAGGTTGTCATCCTCCAAGCAATAAATCCAAAGTTTAAATTCTACTGGTATTAGAATTTTAAAAAATGGTCTTATTTTAGCAACTTAATTAGAGTATCTAAATTGTAACCTGTAATTTTGATTGTACTAAGACTAAATCTAAAAAGTATATATTTTATAAAAAGTTTTGTTTAGAAATCTCAAGTAGAAAAGTAGTATAATCTTTAATAGTACTATCTATAAAAATCTTAATCCAGAGAAGAAAACCTGAAACAGATAATCTATGTAAGTAAGAACCTTAGGTAAAAAAATTCATCAACCTAGTTACTAGTTAATCCAGACATGAAGTTACATCATGCAAAGTTAATTAGATTAGTAATATAGAAGAATTTGCAAAAGTGTACAAAATATTAATAAGATTATAAAGAAAAGTACTAAGGTTGTATAAACTCTACAAGAATATAGTAGTTTAAGAATTATCCTGATGGCAAGTATTGGTCTTAGTTATAATGATATCAGATTAGTTGAAAATTAGATAACAGAAGGTTTTGGTAAATTTAGTATAAGGTTAAAGGTTCTTTATATAAGTGAAGCATTTTAATAATCTAGTAATTATGATATATTTGTACTAATAAAAACTAAAACAGTTAGTAAAATAACTAAGTAGATAAATATAAAAACTAGAGTGTTTAAATAAAGAACTCATAAGCAGGTTTTAGATATAACAACTAAATATAAAACCTTTAAACAAACTACTTAAATTAAACAATAACTAAAGTTATACAAGTAACTAGTTATATATTTTTTTTATAGTTACTTCCTATAGTTATTGTAATAAAATCACAAAGCTAAAATATACTATTAATAAAAGTTTGAGTTACAATTATTTATCTTTAATATTAAAAAAAAAACTAATTATTTTTATAAAGATAAGAGTACAGTTAGTTATATATATAACTTTTAATTACTTATGTAAATAATCTGTTTTAAGATTTTATTTTATTTTATTTTTTTTTTTGGTATTAAGATGACCTCTTTGGTCTTTTGACTTTTATTAATCATCTATCAGTATTGTGGTTCAATGAACTACTACAGAAGAGTATACAATTGGCTATACATGTAACTTTTCTATATTACTTATTTAAAAAGTTCATCCAAAGGTTCCTTACCAATTGCTGTATCTAACATCTCTGCTTGGATGTTCTACTTTAAATTCTCTGAACCTGTAATCTGTATTAATATCACTGAGTTATCACAGATACCCAGATCATTATCTTAACTTTAGGACTAATTTATTCTTGAGATAAACCTTCTAGAGCCTTTTGTACTTATTTTTATAGCTAATCTAGGTATCACTATGGCAGAACCAACACTTGCAGTCAAGGCTGACCATTAAACTGCTATGCCCTTATAAAGTTTACACAAACCCTAGTATTTACTTTACAGCATATTTGAAATATTTTAGTATACTCCTACTAGTTCACCAAACTCCTAATCCAGATAGCCTGATAGGACTTATGACTAGTCCATTGGTATATCAGATCAGCTCGATATTTTTTTCCTCTAGTTCGATCCAGTAGCCTGGTTGGTGATACCTCACACCTAGAGGTTTTTGCCCATTCAGCTACTTTGATCTTGATATCCATTTTATAAGGCTAGCCTTTACAGTAGGGTCATCGAAGATCTGGCTACTTCTTTATTCAGGTCTTTCTAAATAGTCTTCTTGTTACCCAATTTCAACAGATTTACATGGTCACAAGAACTTATTTAGTGTTTGTACTGCCTAATTGCCAGTTTGCATTTCTTCATATAACTACAACCTTGTTCCAAAGAACAATATCATGTAACCTGTTACACAAATGCCCTATGACCTATCAGTCATGCTGATATGACCGTTATTATAGGTATTGTTATCTTATATCTACTTTTTTTAAGATAGTAGTAACTAGAGCGACCTTAGACAATGAACACTTTTTGTAACCTCACTTGTTATTGTGTTATAACTAAGTCAGAAGACATTTTATTTTAAAAAACTTAACAAAAAAGATTTAAGGTAATTTGCAATTACAAAAAAGATTACAATTAAAAGTATATGAAAATACTAATAACTGTTTATTTTGGGTACTGTAAAATAGTAGTTCATTAGTGAAAGTGTATGAAGACTCGATGTTAAACTTGGAGTCCACATCTGTTGCTTTTATACTTTTTGGCTACATAATAAATGTAATGATCTATATCTTTTACATATACAAGATATTTTACAACTACTATTAATAAAATAAATAAGATATGTTTAACATATAAAATAAATAAAATAAATAAACTAAATAATATATATAAACTAAATATAATATAAAATATAGATGCTT